CACCCTACCTGGTTTTAACCCAAGACACTTGGTTTGTCAAGAACTACTTTTTAAAAAATAACCTTTCATTACCTCTAGAGGATGCAGCTCACAAAATCCTTGATTTACATACTTCTATCAATCTCTACCAACAGGCTCACTTTTACAACATCCCCTCGAAACTATGTAAGATACACTTTTTAAAAAACAATGGTGAGCTGACACTTTCTCAACTGAGATATCTCAACAATGCATTTAGGCACACACTAAATTTTATCCATAGCAGACAATTTCTTTTCAAGATTTTGTAGGGGAAATTAATTCAATATTGAGTAACATAACATCGATTTCTCCAGTTAAGGGCTTTAAAAGCAAAGCTATAAAATGTACATACTGGTATTTCAAAATTTTCACCTGGAGACGCTCTTCTAACTAGAAATTGTTAAAAATCATCACAATGGAGTGATAATCATAAATAATCTGATAAAGCAAAATTACAATTAATTGTATACTTTACATGAGATAAAGAGAATTTCAACTTAGTATTTCAGAAAAGTACATTTGAGAGACAGAAGTTTTGTACCTGACAATGAGTAAGGACGTCCTGAACTGTTTTTTGTTGCTCTCCGTTGTAGGATGTGTCAGATAGAACAGCTTCCTGCTAATATTTGAAAAGTTAAGTAGTTAATGCTTTACTTTTATAAGAGTCAAACTGAATACTAGGAGAAAAAAAACCCACTTTACATTTATTTAAATTGTTTTTATTTTCACTAACTTTTCAAAAGGTTTCAGAAGCCTTAATCTAAAGCAGAGACAAAATAGAATAAAAACATTAATATGTGAGTGGAAATATAACTAAGTAAGACAGGAAGTAAGGAAAGAATTTATTATATCATAAGGACCTAGGTTTAGGGTTTTATACTGAAAATGAGTACAAACTGCCCTGAACGTCCTACCATAAGGAAAGGGAAGTTAAATGGTTAAGTCCTCACTAGCTAAGGAAGCAAATTCAGGAGAGACCAATATTTTTTTGAGTGTGAGTTTAGAGGAACTCTACAGTATATGAAAAATTTAAACCTTTTCCTTTAAAATGGTCACGTGTTGGGGTGCCTGGGTGACTCAGTTAGTTAAGCGTCTGACTCTCCGTTTCAGCTCAGGTCATGATCTCAGGGTTTCCTGAGTTCAAGC